TTTGATATAGTCATTACATATAGATCAATCCTCCATAAATAATTCATAATTAGAGTCAAGTAAAATCTGTTAACCTCTCTAATTATATCTTCATCCTTGAGTACCATTGATTCTCTGATGGATAGTGATTCATAAAACACATTCATGAACCAGAGCACTGTTACTAATCCAAGTACCGAATCAACACTCAATAGAATTATTTATCTGCTTCTTTCTCAAGAAGGAATGGATTCCATCTCGTATAATAACATTCCCAGCTACCTATTTCATTATGTCTCCATAATACAAGGAATAGGATTCAGGGTCTCAGAATCCGTACCGAGTAAATCAAAAGACATAAATCCATAAATAGGAGTTTGTTAAGAACTCAGGATTAAGATCATCCTATATATGACCATCGGTAGACTCAATTAGAATTTCTCTGCTTAACAGAAATTATTAGAAATTCATATTGTGTCTGTGTCCTTGTTTCACATAATCTTATTATGCGAAATACACTCATTCAATATCTCACCATATTAACAGTGCGGATAACACCGTTCCATTCTAAATGGGAATGACATGTATTAATAATGTTTTAATTAAAGATTCTGAACTTTAATTAAATTCATTATGAACAATATTTTTTAATTATTATCCTTAAACACTATCCTTTCGTATATAACACTTATATACTATGTTTAAGGTTACATAAACAATCACGGAATTTTCATTTGATATTCATAAAATATTCATAAATATATGCACATAAAATGATGAATAAACTCTTTTATTAATTAAATAATAAATATCCTATTACATCTCATGCTTCTAGGACACTATTCCCAACACCTGCCGCTTTTATGGATTTGATGAATCGAGTCTTCCGCCCGTATTTAGACCAGTTTGTGATAATCTTCGTTGACGACATCCTGGTTTACTCAAAGACTTGGGAATAGCATGAGCAACATCTGAGGATCGTTCTCTAGACTCTTCGAGAACACATGTTTTATGCAAAGAAGGATAAATGTGATTTCTAGTTGACAGAAGTCAAGTTCTTTGGACATGTTATATCTGGACAAGGAATTTCAGTGGATCACGCAAAGATTGAAACTGTGCTACAATGGGAACGACCGAAGAACGTAGCTGAAATTCGAAGCTTCCTATGACTTGCGGGGTATTATCGACGATTTGTAAAGGATTTCTCGAGTATTGCTGCTCGTTGACTAAAAAGGAAGTCAGGTTTGAATAGGATGCTGATTGTGAACATGCATTCCAAGAACTGAGGACTAGGCTAACCAGTGCACCGATTCTGACAATTCCTAATAGCGATAAGCCGTACGAGGTGTATTCCAATGCATCAAGACGAGGACTTGGGTGTGTTTTGATGCAAAATGGACATGTTGTGGCCTATGCATCTCATCAACTGAAGCCACATGAGCAAAACTACCCCACACATGATCTAGAGTTAGCAGCGGTGATTTTTGCTCTTAAGATATGGAGATGCTACCTCTATGGAGTAAAATTCCAGATCTTCTCCGATCATAAGAGTCTGAAGTATCTGTTCACTCAGAAGGACTTAAATATGAGATAGAGAAGATGGATGGAATACATGGAGGATTATGACTTCACCTTGCAGTATCATCCTAGAAAAGCCAACGTGGTTGCAGACGCTCTCCGCAGAAAGACTCTAGGAATCCAAGCATATTTGGCATTGGAAGATTGGAAACAGAGTGAAATTGTAGGTAACTATGATCTTCAGTATTATGAGGATTCTAACCAAGCTATGGTGTATAACTTGGTTTCAACACCAACTCTTATACAACAAGTCAAGCAGAACCAATGGCAGGATTCGCATCTTCAGGGAATTTGGACTCGAGTTCAGAATGGAGAAAAACAGGACGAATGGAATATTCGGGAAGATGGAACGCTCTACTTCAGGAATTGCCTTGCCGTTCCTCAAGTGGATGAGATAAAGAAGACAATCCTCCATGAGGCTCACAAATCGAGGTTCGCTATTCACCCTGGGAGTACCAAGATGTATCAAGACCTCAAAAGATAGTATTGGTGGAGAGGTATGAAGAAGGATGTTCACCAATACGTGTCAGAATGTATGACTTGTCTTCGAGTCAAGGCTGAACATCAGAAACCTGCTGGAGAACTGCAGCCTCTTCCTATTCCTGGATGGAAGTGGGAACACATTACGATGAATTTTCTGATGGGATTGCCGAGGACTGAACATCAGCATGATGCCATATGGGTCATTGTGGATAGGTTAACAAAGTCTGCGCAGTTCATTCCCTTTTGTGCGACATACTCTAGGAAAGTTCTAGCAGAGTTGTTTCTGGAGCACGTTGTCAGACTTCACGAAGTTCCGTTGTCTATCACATCAGATCGTGACACTCGTTTCAATGCTAGATATTGTAGAAGTTTCTAAGAAGCCATGGGAACCGAACTGAATTTCAGCACCGCATTTTATCCTCAGACCGACGGACAATCTGAAAGAGTTCAGATTTTGGAGGACATGCTTCGTGCTTGCATTCTAGATTTTGGTGGAAACTGGAAGAAGTATCTCTATTTAGCTGAGTTCGCCTACAACAACAGTTATCAGAGTAGCATTGGGATGGCACTATTCAAGGCGTTGTATGGCAGACCTTACAGATCGCCAGTTTGTTGGATTGAGTCAGAAGATCGACTGACCCTTGGACCGGATGTTATCTAGGAGAATAATGAGAAAATAGCCGTGGTTCGAGAACGACTATTAACGGCTCAGAGTCGTAAGAAGAGTTATGCTGATAGGAGGCGTAGACCCTTAGAATTCTTAGAGGGCGATTTTATCTTGTTAAGAGTCTCTCCGCGTAAAGGAGTTACTCATTTTGGTGTGAAGGGGAAACTCACGCCGAGATACATCGGGCCGTTTCAGATCACACAACAGGTCAGTGTCGTTGCTTACCGCCTTGATCTTCCTCCAGAATTGTCTCACGTGCACAATGTGTTCCATGTTTGTATGCTTCAAAAGTGTCAACCCGATCCAAAAGCCATTGTGCAATGGTATGACGTGCCGATCCAATGTGACACGACTTACGAGGAAGCACCCGTACAGATTCTTGACAGGAAGATGAAAAGCCTACGTCGACATGAGATACCGTTAGTGAAGGTGTTGTGGCAACACCATGGCGTTGAGGAAGCAACGTGGGAATTGGAAACGACGATGCATGAACGATATCCGTATCTGTTCATATCGTGAGGTAAATTTTAATTTCGGGGACGAAATTTCTTAAAGGGGGTAGAATGTAACACCCTTCAGAATTAAACTTGTTTAACTATGATAATTGTGGTTTATTAGTGTGTCTAAATTGATTTTCTTAATTAATCATGAACTTTTAAATTTATTTTGGTATTTGCAGTTTCACCCCCCTTTGTTTTATTTATTTTCCCTAATATTTTCTTTCCAATTTTTCTTTTTCCTTTTCTCTCTTCTTTTCTTTTTCCTTATTTCTTTTTCCTCTCTCTTCCTCACGTTACTCTCCCTCTCTCTCTGTCTCGACACACACACTCTCTCTCCCTATCAGTCTCTCGAGCTCACTCTCCCTTTCTCTATCTCGAGCTCTCTCTCTCTCTCTCCCTGCCTCGTTCATCTCTCCCTCTCTCTCTCAAAGTTTTCTTTCTCAAGGGCCGGATTTAAACCAAAAGCGGAGGTTTCCAAGAGGTTTTCAACATCAAAGCTTGGATCAAGGTAAAACTCTTTGAAACTTACTTTAGATTTTCATATTTAGCCTTATGGAACTCGTTTTAGTCGAGTTTGGTGATTTTTGGTTTAGATTTCATTTTCGAATAGATTTCGAATGCATTTTAATGGAAGCTTGGTGAAAATTGGGGGTTTTTGATTCTTTGGACCCTATTTTTTTATTTGAAACTGGATTTATATATTTCCCTTGAGAATATGTCGAAATCGAACCTAAAATGTCAGGATTTGGCTTTGTTCACGCGGATCGGCCATGGCTGGCCCTGGAAATCTTCCCCACCGGTCAACCGGTCACCCTTCCACCGGCTGACCGGTGGAGTTACACTCCTCTATTACCGGTCGACCGGTTCCCACTGAACCCGACCCTAAACAGCCCAAAAACCATGTTTTAACCATGAAATTTGATGTGGGATTGACCTAACCTCATTTGAGAACTCAAAATGAATGGATTAGCCACATGAATCCTTGTTTTCCATTCGATTCTCTAGAATAAATCTCCATTGTCAAAGAATCATGATTTGAATTAAGAATTGTTTATGAACATTGATTTTGAACTATGGCACACTAATATGATACAATTGCATCTAATTAAACGAGAATGTTTGGTGAGAAAGATCAAACTCTAAATTGTTGATTTTGATGGGAAAGTTAGTGGCACGATTGGAATTAGAGCCTCAAAGGCAAGCAGAGCTAGGGCTACGTGAAGATAGTCACAGGTTTGACATTCGAAAGGTATGATATTCTTGTCCATATCCTTGTTAGCCTTACTTTAAATTATTTTGGCCAATGAAAATGTTTTAGAATAAAACATGTTTAAAGAAAATGATTTCAAAGGAATAGCATGAGAATGCTATTAAGTTTTCCAATGATTTATGAAATGAGATTTTAAGGAGTATCCTTTCTTAAAATGAAATATTTTAAGGAATGATACAACGCATGGTGACCTCAGAGATCGGGATGTGAGAATCGCATCCTTGGGGGCAGGTCCCGAAACCCGTACGGATCCACTTCTTGTTTAGTGGAACTATGACTCTGCACTTTTCACTAGACATACATTTTACCGCTTATTGTTTAGTGGTATGATGAGCTGCACACTTACATTATACAGACATTTTCTACTATGTGAGTATTTCCTTTTCTAAAAAGGGATGACCAGTTCCGGATGTATATCTTCAGACTGTGAGTACCATTATTTTAAATGCTTTATAAACTTATATCATACTGGGCCTTTCGCTCACTTTTCTTATTTTTAAATATATTAAACCCCTCCAGGCGACGCGAGGAGTAGTGCGGAGTAGGTAGCTACTACTGGTGATGTGGACTTGACCTCGGGAGGCGAAGAGTTGTATTTCCTCTTATCTTTTATCTCAAGGCATGTATAAAAAATTATGGATTGTAAACTTAAATATTGCTAGACTGTGGTTGATGTCACAATTACTTTTGTTGATATTCATGTATGCTAAACACCTGTGGGAATTCCTGACTTGATACCAGAGACGTAGTTTTAAACTGGTTTGGTTGGAAATTCCACCACCTTTCTTAAAATTAAACTTCTCTTGAATGCAGGGGCTTGTTTGGAAATACCTGAATGTTTTGGATTTGAAAAATTAAAATATTTACAACATTATTTGCTAATCACTCTCTTAAACAGGTTTAAGTTTCTAAACAAGCCTCTACGTCACTAACCCCGATTTGGGGGCGTGACAAGTGATCTATATCATTTTGTATCATATCATTGTAACTTAAATTCCATCATTTTTAACTAGGAAAAAAAAGAAAAAAAAAAAACTTAAATTCCATAATTATATAGAACAAAACAAACATCTTTTTTCGTTCTTAAATATTATTTTAACTTCTCTCGATTACTTCTAGTTAAACAAAAAAAAAATGAAAGAAAAATTATACGTACCGGTACAATAAGAGAAAAATTATATGTACCGGTATAAACGTCTTTTGTCTTATACTTATTTTGTCTATATCAATATATAAAAATGTCAAAAACCTGACATTTCGTACAATTTCGACCGAGATTCATTTATTTATTCATTGTAGTCCTTTTTGGACCTTTTCTTTATTTTTATCTTGAAATTTTATCTTTTTCCGTTTTAAATTTTTTTACCTTAAAATTTATTTATTTCTTCATTTACACTTTATTTTTTTCTTTGTGGTTTTCTTTCCTTAAAACTTATTCCTTTCTTCATTCTTTTTTGGCCCTTTTTTTCATTTTAGTCCTAAAATTTTATTTTTTGTTTTGGTCCTTTTTGCCAAAAATTTATTTATTTTTTCATTTAATTCTTCTTTTACCCTTCTTTTGGCTTCTTTCCCTAAAAAAAAACACTTTATTTTTTTTATTTTTGAGATTTTATATTCAAATTTTATATGAAACGGTAATTAAAACTTAACATACAGATTACTCTCTACGTGCATATATATTATAAGTAAGAAAGTAAAAGATTAGCAAAAAAAAAAAAAAAGTAAGAAAGTAAAAAGATTGCAAATCAGCTTTGACAAGACCTAACAAATTAAAGTTCAAAAATCTGAAAGATCATAAGCTATAGTTTGCCGTCAAACACAGAGACAACCATAATGAAACCTAATGTGTGAGCAAATCAAACACTAATTAACGTTAAAAAACAATTGTTTTGAGCTACTATATTTAGGTAAATTTGGGTCAATTGGCCTAATTAGATGAAACGTGCATAATTGTTGTCTACTCATTTTGAACACATAGTACAAATTTTCTATATTATTTTAGTCAATCAAACTGTAACTAGCTATATATTTATATATAATATTTAAGAACATGAATAATGGTTGCTGCAGATTACATGAAAGAATGTCTCAGGGAAAAAAAGAAATCATGAATAATGTGGGGGTGGAGGTGGGGGACCATGACTTGATGGATTTAGACTTTCTAGAATACGGTTTCAAAAAAAGTATTCACATTATTCGGATCCATTTGTTTTCAAGATTTTACTGCTGATGAATACACTTACGTTTAAGATGTATAAAAGTATATAAAGGACTTACATGCGACTTACGTATAAGAGCAATTTACTCAAGTTAAATGTTGAACTGATATGAGAACTTGTTAAATATATTATTGCTCTGTGTGTGTGTGTGTGTGGTTGTCTTTGTGGTAGATCATTAACAATCTATATATATATATATATATATATATAGGTATTCTATAACCAAACGATGTTATCAATTGCCTTAGCCTCATGACTTGAAAGAATTAAACTATAAAATTAATGCTATATGACATAAATGTCCTCATATGACCTCTTTTTGAACTATTTTGAAAGAGAGAAATAGAATTTACATACTTCTTTAAATTTGGATTGTAAACTTCAAAAATATTTGTTCTTAATATATGCCATCATTAGTCTGTAACCGCGCATTTATCTAAACCTCGAAATGTCTATTTTCATTTTTCAGAACAATAATTTTTTTTTTTGGAAAAAAAAAATAACGTTTCAAGTTGTGTCCACATTTTCCGCATGACATGTCGCATAAGTATAAACATGTAGACACACATACAGATGCATCTGAAAAGGGGAAAAAAGGGGGAAAAAAAAAAGAAGGAAAAAAACGCGAGAGAGAGCTAGCTACATTTGCCCCATATCCATATATATATTTGAGAAAATTAAGCTGTGTGATCAATATTATTATCTGAATAATTGTAGCTAGGTCGAAATGGTTGATCAGCAGGAGCAAGATAGGATGCTGCCAATTGCAAACGTGGGAAGGATAATGAAGCAAATCCTTCCCCCAACAGCAAAGATCTCAAAGGAGGCCAAACAAACAATGCAAGAATGTGCAACTGAGTTCATAAGCTTCGTGACTGGCGAGGCATCTGACAAGTGTCACAAGGAGAATCGAAAGACGGTGAATGGGGATGACATCTGTTGGGCTCTCACTGCTCTAGGGTTTGATAACTATGCTGAGGTTTTAGTTAGGTACTTGCATAAATATAGGGAGGCTGAGAGAGAAAAGGCCAACCAAATTAGTAAAGGCAGCGACAACAATAATAATAATAATCATATTACTATTGCTGATCATGATGAAGACAAAGATGGAGATTCAGATGATCGCTCTAAAAGTACCACTGGAGTTCAGCAAACTGATCAAATTAGTAACATTATTACTACTTCTCCAACTCTAATGGAGTTCAACATCATTGAGAAGGGAGATCATCATCAGTCTCTTGTTAAATCGTCTTGAAAAATATTGTCTTCTCATTCTCTATAAGAATGAAAGTGCACTTATGGGTATCAAGATTTCATTTAACCTATAATTACAATTGATGATGATCTTGGTTGTTCTCACCCATGTATATGTGAACTGTCCTGTTGCTTGTCCCTGATCAGGTAACATTGTACTCTCCTCCTTATAACTGATGATGATCATATGCTTAAGTTCTTTATTTTAAGATCTTTCTTTCCACCTCTTTTCATGAACTATGTGTTATAGTACTGAGAATGTTTTTGGGTAAAACTGGGCATTCTTCTGTGTGATAGTTTTCTTTTTTTTTTTTTTTTTTTTTGAAGTTGGGGATGGGGGATATATTCGAACTCTATACGTTGTGATTGAGTAAGATGCAAAATTATTGATAGACTATGTCTGCGACTACTTGTGTATGAAATTTGGGCTTTGAATATATTGATGATCCCATCAAGAGCTTATTTTAGACCCAATGATCTGCACCTTTCAACTGATTCTTGTACTTTTGGCGTTCAATTTCATCCTCCAATATTTTTCATTTTAGAGATCATTTTGTAGATATATTAGCTACAGCAAGTTAAGATTACATATTTTGGGACTACAATTTTGGTTGTCATCATATCATATCATCGCAGACACATACTATGAACAAGCCTCTGATATTTCCCTTTCAACTTTCAAGTGTGATTAATTAAGCTTTAAGTACTTAATTAGTCCGAAGAAAGACGGTAACAAACATGCTTCTTCTCACTCCCTCTAAATTGAGTGAAAGTTTATCGTTGATGGTCAAATAATAATGAGACCGATTAATTATCACAAAAGATGATCGCTCTAACTTTTATTGTGAGGAAAAAAAATCAGTTTTCAAGAATTATCAGTACTGTATTTTTTTTTTGAAAATGAATCAGTACTGTATTTCTGATAATTATTTTTTATTTGATATTCATATCCTTGATGTCATTATGGTTAATTTATAAACGACTGTTTGAACAATAAGCATGATTTTTTTTTTTTTAAGGAGTAAGCTTGAGAATTAACTGCTATAATTATAGCATCTTATGCATATATTTCTTTGTAAGGAGGCCAAAAAACTTTGTAAAATGGTCAGGCAATGTCCTAAATGTATGTCTATAAATGATCAAATTCCCAACGTGATCATCAAGAATAGCACTTTGGGCAAAGCATATTAAGCAAACAAGAAAGTTATTACCCCTCCTATAGAACTGTCTACATGCCAACTCCCTAATTCATTTCATGAGTTCTTGACCATTTCTCTCACAAAAACACTTTCAGTTCTTGATCATATCTTCTTAATTTCTCATATTCAAAGAGAATGTGATCAACTCTTTGATACTCCGCAGTTTTCCCTCTAGCTATAGGTAGCTAGGAATTTTTCCCCTTCTACTAATTGTTTCACCGAAATCAAATATTTGGTCATGACTAGGGTTTGCCAAGAAATTACTTTTGTGTGGTAGAACAAGTTTTCTTATATATAGCAACAAAAGATATATAAAATGCAGGCTTATATATATATGAATCAAATATACAAGAGAATTTCCAGCAAATTAGTACTACTACAGTCAACATCCAATAAATATTGACTATATATGTACTAGGTTTAGGGTTTGCTTAACCCTAGAGCCAGGGGACCACATATATATATATACATATACATACATACATATATATATATATATATAACATTTTCGGGCTTTTGATAACATGAATAATCGAGAAAATCCAATGAAATCTCAAGCATGCTTATATTTTACTATATGCTTATAGATCGGGCAACCTTCCCATAAAAAGATGATTGTACAACCCTAATTCTAAAATTAGAATTTGTCAGATTTTGGGTTTTCAACGTGCAGCCTAGGGTTTCTATATTCTTAGGCTCTTGAGGGACCACTTCTCAACTATCCAATTATTCTCTCTATCCAACCTAGGGTTGATATCTTTATAAAAGCAAGATTACCTATATATAAATAAATAAATATATATATATATATATATATATATATGCACACACACACATGCTTGAAAACATGAGGAAGTACTGAAGAGGGTAAAAAGGTTAAAGTTAGAAAGAAAATAAGAGATAACAATATCACGTAAGTGCTACAATTACTGAAAACGTTGGAATACAAAATAATTATAACTTAGTATCATGATTTTACGGATAGAATCATCTTGAAAAATCTCTAACTTCTGCAGATAAGATGCGAAATGTGTGTAGCAAAATAGAATTGGTTTTTTTTTTTTTTTCTGGAAAAATAGTAATTGTTCTTGGTATAACAGCAAATTGTATAAAATCCTTAGAAAAATTCAAAGAATATGATCTTGATTGAACTTAGAAAACGTCAAATAAAATGGGACCACCAATACAGTAGTACCATATATACGCGACTGTCTCCTATTCATGTGTAGATCAAGTCTTAGTCATAGCATAATAGTATCATGATGTGTCCTGATTTCTTCATATGTAGAACAGACTTTCATAAGCTCTGATAAACTAAAGACCAGCTACTTAGACCAATTTGCTACTTTTATTGGCTTTTGACCTTCATAGAATCCTTTAGAAAGCCTCAAAGTTCTGGGACCAAAATTTTGGTCATCCAGATGCACTAGTACTATGCGACGGTTTTTATTGATCAAATTAAGATGGACACAAGCTGCTTCGATGAGCTGCGACCATAGAATCGCGGTATCGAGCTTCATAATTAACTTGTTTATCTCTCCAAATGATCACTGCTTGTTGGCAATCAGCGGTGTGGACCAGCACTTTGGCAACAGTGAGTGTGTACTAGTGTAAATTGTTTATAGCAAAATAGCGACTCAAATGAAAACAGTGCACCCATTTTCCACAACAAAGGGGCAAGGGCTCATGGGGTGTCCATGTGATCATTTGCAGGAAACCCAACAAAAAGTTCCCAAGAAAACATGTACTATATATGCGTGACTAATCTAACTTCTATAGAAATATTATCATGTGCCTCAATCCCCTAACAAAATTTCCTTAAAGTTTAAGCCTTATAATGCTCTTAGGGAGAACTTTGTGGATGCATTATATTAGAGGAACACCACTTTCCAGAGTTTTAAATATACCATTTTTTTTAAAGAAATTCCAACCCAAGTTTCACATTAAAACGACACAATTGATAACTAGACTTCAAAAGTGGTATACAATCTAGTTTACATGAACTTGATATCAGTGTCTATATATATGTATGTACGCCATAGTAGCTTTGACAATGTGCATGCATGAGCTAGGCAGATGTGTGCTGATATGGCTGAAGAAAAACAAGACCAACTAATTTGATAAATTTGTGAAAAACTCCAGCCTGATGAGCATCCTAATTTTCAGCGCTACATAGCATTAATCTTTAGGACGAGGTTAAGTGTGGAGGCTATAATCTAAAGATATAGAAATGGCATTTCATAGTTGATTGATTATACTTATAAAAAACAAAGGCTAAGAGCATTGTTTTGGCTATTAACTGACAACATAGGAGGTCTGGTTGCATATGTTCATTTCATATAAATAAAATAATATGCGCAATTGCAGAAACTATAAGCTCCTTTTCATGTCCTTTGTATTCCATTCACTATTCGGAAAAAAGGTCAGTACATTCTAAGTCTATAATGTAATCTAGCTTCCTAATGTGCGTCATAATTTTATAGAGAAAATTGCTAAACTTACCCTTAAAATGCACGAGTCTGGATTTTAACATTTTATTCTTGATTAATACCTTTTGACTAATATAATTATTTGACTAAAAAAGATATTAATAAAGAGTAAAAAGGTAAAAATCGAGACTCATACACTTTAAGAATATTTATCTCATTTTTCTTAATTTATATATGTTGAGTCCTTTATCAAGAGAGCACATATAGAGAGAGAATGTAATCAACTTTACAAATACCCTAATTCTCCTCTAAGAAAACATTTACTATCAGATGTGATAATAAAAGAGAGCTGTCACATAAAAAAAAAAAATGACAGCATCCTAAACTATTATCTAGTGATCACGTCACTAGATAATAGTAACAAATTGCAATTTCTTTAAAAAAAAAAACGCACACACTAATTTAATGAGCATTGTTGCTAATCAGCGAGCAATCGTTGTTATACAAACCCACATTCTATCAACGTGATGATAATCACTATCAGTTTTCATATTTGATTTTTTTTTTTTTTTTCATCCGTTTGGATTGAGGCCGATAGTTTGGTCATTGAGCGTCAACAACGTACCTTTCATTTTCTTTCGCTGGACCTCCACAGTTTCGTTACTTGACGGCTGAAGCGTTGAGAACAAACAAGTGAGTTTTGTTTGCTCTGTACATATATGTCAATGTCATTCATTCCATGGCTCGTATTAAGCTCGAAAAGAAATTGACGACTTTTCCAAATTAAAAGAGTTTCTTGGCCTCTTGGGCCCAACATCGCCGTTCTGTGCCTGGACTTCATAACGCAATTGTTTCAGAATGCATTTGTTTTATGGCATGTTTGATTCATGCATCTAAATCAATAATTTTAATTTTAATTTTAAATTTTATTAGAGAATCCAGTGATGGAATTTTTTTTATTCAAATTTTTTATGAGAAAAAAGTACATTAATAGAATTTAATAGAATCAGAATTATGATTTTAAATAGGTGAACTAAATGGACCTGAGACTCGACATGGATATGGAAACGTCTCTTCAGACTTGGAGATTAATCACAACTTGGGACTCACTAACCCAACAAGGAAACTTGAAAAAATATGCTCAGAAGTCGGTAGCTTTGCTATCTGTTACTAATAATCAGAGGCTGAGTCCGAGGCTTTCCATCGAGCCAACAAAATTTTGGTAAAACATAAATAGGTGCTGCTACAATAACTCATGAATCATAATTCATAACCTGACTTTTCCACATTTGAATTTTTCTTTGGCTCGGAAAGTGTACAGAACATATATCTATTGAGGGGAAAAAAAAAAATTTCCTCCACATTTCATCACC